CTCTCTCTCTCTCTCTCTCTCTCTCTCTCTCTCTCTCTCTCTCTCTCTCTCTCTCTCTCTTGTGCGTGTGTGTGAGCGTGCCCCCATTAATGTGTGCGGGCGTCGCCATGTTCGCTGTACACAACTCCACCAAATGAAGCAGGTGCGCACCAGACTGCTTCGTCGAACTTTCACTGACTCATCAGGAGGTGAGCGGAGGGGGAGGAGAAGTGGCAGAGGCGGAGAGGAGATGACGGGAGGAGGCAGACGGGAGGTGGGCGGAGGCCGAGGGGAGATTGGCAATCCCAATAGCGGGAGGGAGGTGGGTGGAGGCGGACAGGAGGTCTGCGCTGGCCGTTGGGAGTTTTTTTTTTTTTTTAAGGCAGGCAGAGGGATGGCGGATGTGCGGGCAGCGGAACGGAGGCCAGAGCGGAGGTGAGTGGAGGTGGAGGAAAAGTGGGCGGAAGTGGAGAGGAGATGGCAGGAGGAGGCGGGCAGTAGGTGGCAGAGGTGGGCAGTAGGTGGCAGAGGCGGAGAGGAGATGGCGGGAGATGGCGGGAGATGGCGGGAGATGGCGGGAGATGGCAGGAGGAGGCGGACAAGAGGTGGCGGAGGCGGAGAGGTGATGGCGGGAGGAGATGACGGGAGGAGGCAGACGGGAGGTGGTAGAGGCGGAGGAGAAGTGCCGGAGGCAGGGAGGAAAGCGAGAAGGTGGAGGAGAAGTGGGCAGAGGTGGAGAGGGGATGGCAGGAGGAGGCGGACAGGAGGTGGCGGAGGCGGAGAGGAGATGGCGGGAGGAGATGGCGGGAGGAGGCGGACGGGAGGTGGCGGAGGCTGATAGGTGATGACGGGAGGAGACGGTGGGAGGAGGCAGACAGGAGGTGGCAGAGGCGGAGAGGAGATGGCGGGAGGAGGCGGATGGGAGGTGGCGGAGGCGGAGAGGAGATGGCGGGAGGAGGAAGACGGGAGGTGGCGGCCCTGCAACAGGCCAATGCCCCGCCTGCAACGGGGCCAATGGCCAGCAGGTGCCGGGGCGATTCTTTTACAACGGGCCCTCTGTTTCAACAGGCGGGACGATCCAGGGCGCCCGAGGTCCTACTGGGCCGATGGCTCAGATCGTCCCGCGATCTTAAGACTTTAAGATCTCACGACAATCCAGGGCCGACGGCCTGGATCGTCGCCGGGAAATCCGGACCGTCGGCCGGTAGGACCGCGAGCGCCCAGATCGCCCAATTCTCACGTTAGCGATTTCTAGAAATGTAGGGATGGATTATATGGATATGGTCATAAAGAATACAACTACACTGAAAAAGGGGGGGAGGGGGAAAGGATGACAAAAAAGGCACCATCTCCACGCTTGCTTCGCCTAATCAGAGCCTTCATAGACAAGAATCGATGTTCACTCATTTCACAAATAAACAATGCAATCAATACACAAACAAGTTACAAGAACTTCCAAAAGAAATCGAAAGAAGTCCAGTAGAGAGCCCGCAAAACATAATATCACACACCCAAGCTAGCGTCACGGCCGAGCAGTCAGCAAACAATTCTTGGTGGTAAGAATTGTTTTTTGCTGACTGCTCGGCCTTGACGCCAGCTTGATGGAGTGCAGCTTCCTGCCATCGCCTGGTACACCTACCTCATACCATCCCCACACCAGCACACAGCTCTCTCTCTCTGTCTGTGTGTGTGTGTGTCTCGTCTCTCTCTCTCTCTCTCTCTCTCTCTCTCTCTCTCTCTCTCTCTCTCTCTCTCTCTCTCTCT